TACATCAGATGTAGGTAGGGCAGAATTAAAAAAAAAATCACAAAATCAAAATCAAAGTAAAATAATAAAATAAAAGGGCATTAATAACAAAAGTAATAAAAAAATAAATTTAAAATAAGTTTATAGCCACAATAATTAAAGCCCGTACACTACATCAGATTTTAATCAGATTGGACCCTAACCGCCTCTCGCCACCTTAAATACAATACAAACATATTTAAAATCAACTGAGCTAATCTACATAATACTTGTTATTAAAGTTCCTATAGTGCTGTTACCAGTGACCCATCTTGTAAACCAGTGCCAGTCTCATGATTAATTACTTCGTATGCGGGATTATCGTAAGCGGCTGCTGGAACAGGAGAATCGCTGTAAAATAAACAAGATCAATTAGTCCATAATCCCGCTCTTTGAATATTTTATAAAATGATTAATTTTCACAGGGTTTAAATTTCCTGATTTAGCATTTCAGGCATATTCAGTAGGTTTTAAAATCACTGTTTTATTATTTAGATAATTTGTTCTATGCTCAATTTTTCATATTCCCTAGGTTTTAATTTAGCACATTTTCCAGTGAATAATTAACCCTTTTACAGTACCTGGCATTTAAAGATTATTTTGTAATATGTTGCATTTTTTCAAAATGACATTTTTCCATGTAATTGTTATTATATCCAAATTAGAGACAAAAAACAAAATGCTTTGATTAGTATGGCAGTGAAAATATGGAAGAAAATCTCTTAGGGTTGAACTCCCTCTATCTGTCGAGTTGAGATATGTTCCTCCGCCCACACGTATCCTAACTTGTAACATGGAGGTAGAAAAGAGAATGACCGAACAATGGATAGTCATCTTATACGAGTTAATCAAATGTAATATGATACAGTTAACTTACTTGTTATCAATAAGTTTGTCAAATTCTTGCAGCGCCTCCATTTCCGGTGGTGGTGGTAGTGTGTCGTCCAGTGGCGGTTCAGTCGCTGGAGGAGGGGGTGGTGGCGGTGGATCTGTAACAGTTTTTGTTGCTGTTACAGTAACTGATGCTGACGGATCTTTGCCCGGTGCGTCTTTTGTTGCTGTCACGCTTACTGTTACAGCAGCTTGGGGTTCTGGCTCTTTTTGTACTTTTGACGGCCCGGGATCAATGATTTTCTCATATTCTGGTGGTACCATATTATTGTCGTCATCACTTGATGACCCTGATTGAATACTAGCTCTTGCCGAGCTTGGACTGTGATCTTTAGTCTCGTCAACGTGCGTTACTAATGGGGCTTTTTTCATTTCGTTTACAATGTCAGCTGTTCGCACCTGTGTACCCACGTCATCTTCTTTCATGGCTCTTAATATATCGGCGGATCGTACTTGCGTTCCAATTTCATCTTCTTGCATGGCTCTTAAAATCCAAGCCTGGTAGACTAAGGTACTTTCATCTTTCTTTTGCTTACCATGACCTGGTACAGGTGAAGCGCCTGTTCCATTCAAAACCAAGTCAAACTCTTCTTTTGGCATGTTGGCCAATCTGAAACAGTATATATTACGTAAGATATTCATACAATACATCGTCTAAAGAC